TCTCTCTTGCCTTCACCGGCCTGCTGCCCCGCATCCTCCGGCAAGTCCCAGGCCTTCTCCAGGCCTTAGTATCCCCTTTTGTAAAACTCCAGGCGGGAAGAGGTTTGGGCCTTCACGAGGGCAGGGCTATGGGGGCAGGGCTTTCTGGTGGGGAAGGGCTCCGGGGGCCCCAGGTCCCCCGCATCACCTGGGTGACATGCCCTTCTCGGCAGGAGGCACCATGCAGGAGCTTCGTCTGCTGTGCTGGGCGGTTCTGCTGGGCCTGGGCCAGGCCTGCCCAGAGCCCTGCAGCTGTGAGGAGAAGTTTGGCTTCCAGATCGCCGACTGTGCCTACCGCGACCTGGAGGCCGTGCCGCCGGGCTTCCCGGCCAACGTCACCACCTTGAGCCTGTCAGCCAACCGTCTCCCGGCCTTGCCCGGGGGTGCCTTTGAGGAGGTGCCCCTGCTGCAGTCCCTGTGGCTGGCGCACAATGAGATCCGCACGGTGGCTGCCGGCGCCCTGGCCCCCCTGGGCCACCTCAAGAGCCTGGACCTCAGTCACAACCTCATCTCCGACTTTGCCTGGAGCAACCTGCACAACCTCAGCGCCCTGCAGCTGCTGAAGATGGACAGCAACGAGCTGACCTCCATCCCCCGCAGCGCCTTCCGCAGCCTGCGCTCCCTGCGCTCCCTGCAGCTGAACCACAACCGCCTGCACTCCTTGGCCGAGGGCACCTTCGCACCGCTTATTGCGCTGTCCCACCTGCAGATCAACGACAACCCCTTCGACTGCACCTGCGGCATCGTGTGGCTCAAGACGTGGGCCCTGGCCACCTCCGTGTCCATCCCAGAGCAGGACAACATCGCCTGCACTTCACCGCACGTACTCAAGGGGACGCCGCTGAGCCGCCTGCCGCCGCTGCCCTGCTCGGCGCCCTCCGTGCAGCTCACCTACCAGCCCAGCCAGGACGGGGCCGAGCTGCGGCCTGGCTTCGTGCTGGCGCTGCACTGTGCTGTTGATGGGCAGCCGGAGCCCCAGCTGCACTGGCATGTCCAGACGCCCGGGGGCACCGTGGACATTGACAGCCCCAATGTGGGCGCCGATGGCCGGGCCCTGCCTGGAGTGCCTCCGGCCACCGGCGGCAGGCCCCGCTTCCAGGCCTTTGCCAATGGCAGCCTGCTCATCCCTGAATTCGGCAAGCTGGAGGAGGGTACCTACAGCTGCCTGGCCACCAACGAGCTGGGCAGTGCCGAGAGCTCGGTGAACGTGGCGCTGGCCACGCCGGGCGAGGGGGGCGAGGACGCCCTGGGCCGCAGGTTCCACGGCCAGGCCACTGAGGGCAAGGGCTGCTACACGGTGGACAACGAGGTGCAGCCTTCGGGGCCCGAGGACAACGTGGTCATCATCTACCTCAGCCGGGCTGGGGGCCCGGAGGCGGCAGTGGTGGCGGGGGCTGGCCCTGGGCAGCAGGCCCCAGGTCTGCTCCTACTGGGCCAGAGCCTCCTCTTCCTCTTCCTCGCCTCTTTCTAACCTCCCCCTCCACAAGGACCTGAGACCCTCGCT